ATTTAAAAACATAATATAATTAAGCTACAATTCGCAAAAAGCCGTGCCCGGATACTTTCTTCAGGGGAGTGTATGTTGGTCATATATATTGAATAGTATATAAGCTAGAAATTACTCTTGCAGAAAATAATTCATATATTTGATGTATATTTTACTTTAATTCCTTATATTTCTGCATAAAAATATATTGTAAAAGAAAATTTTTATCTTTAAAGATTCATCCTCTCATTATTATCAATTCACCAAAATAATAATAGGTTTTAAAGTATTATATAGATGTGCTTGTATGAAAGTCTCTATTGGTAATAATTTGGACTAAAGTATTTAATTGGCCAGTTGATATAATTTGAGAAATCAATTATATTTAAAGTAAAGTAGTTTAGATTTTTTAGACATCTTGTAATCATTAATTCATTTGAAATTTCTTGCAATATTATTTGAATCAGAATGTTTATTATATTTTTGCTATTAGAAAAAGAAATTATTAAAGAAATAATATAAAGAATTTCATTGTTATTTACTTTCTTTTGTCATAATTTTAGAGTTAATAAAGGTATTTCTTAAATCTTTAAAATAATACTCTATAAAAGAAAACTCTCAGGTATATAGAATAGCTAGTCAATAATAGTGCATTTATATATATTATTTCTTAGCAATTGCTTATAGTTTTTTTAGTTTAGTAAAATTATAAGATAATTGACTATAATATATCTTTAATCTATTTCTATTTATTGGTGTCTTTAGAACTCTATTATTTATTGTTCGCAATTTGTAGACACTGTTTTTAAGAATATCATATACATGGTAAAATCTTTTTCAATATTTTTCTAACTTCTTTTTGTCTCTTAAATTACTTTTATATAATAAAACTGAGTCTCCTATTTTGAACTGTACCTTCTTTAATTTATTATCATATTGTTATTTTTATTTTTATTAAGATCATTTGATATTTTCCCTAGCATTTATTTTATCACTCTCAAACTTACCAATAATTATTTGTATGCAGTTTATTATATTATCATAAAGTTTAGGATCTGTTAGAATGATAGCTTCATGTCTATACATTAAATAGAAAGGTTTATATCTTGTAGTCTCATGTTTTTTAGTTCTATATGCAAAGAAAGCTAAAGAAACATATAAATCTCAGTCATCTTTGTTATCATTTACAAATTTGATCAAGGTTTTATATAATATTCAATAAAACTATTCAAATAATTTATTAATCTAAAGGTGATATACTGAAAATAGTTTATGTTTTATTTCCAGTTTTTCACATAAAGAATTTAGCATTTTATTATCAAATTGAGTCTTTTTATCAGTTAGAAATACTTTTAAGCATCCATAGTAGCATATGATATCCTTATAGAAAATGTAACCACAGAAGCAGCTTTAGCATCTGGTATCACTCTGACCTCAGTCATTTAGTAAGATATTTGGTTACTACAACAATATATGTATTTCTATTTTAAGTCCTAGGTAATAGTTTAAAAATATCTATTTCAATCCTATCAAATGGCTGTCCTACTTTAATAGAATGTAAAGTAATTCTCTGAACAGTTCAGTTCAGTCCAAATTATAGGTCAATTTGAAACTGAACTGATAATTTCAGTTCAGTTCAGTTCTGATAATAATATTAATGATGATATTGATTTGAATGAAGATAAGATTTTAAATGAAAATAATATTTATATTATTAATGAAGTGATTGTTGATGAGACATTAAAACCAGATAGATTGCTACAATTAGTCGACATATAAAGCATCTACAATGTTGTTTTAATGATATCATGTCTTTTTATAACAGATAAGATTTTTAATATCAAAACTATTTAATAATTTACATTAAGCATTTTATACTTAAAAGTTAAATGTTTGTTTATTAAGTTTCAATTTATAATAATTATACAAATAAAGTTATATATAATTTTTGTTAGAAAAAATGAAAAACCTTATTACATTGCATTTTAATCTAATAACATCAAAAACTAAAATGCAATAAAAATCAAAATTTTGTCAATTCAGGATATATAATTTATTTTACATTTATGGTTATTATGTGATTCTGGTTATGTTACAAAAATTGACATCCTTATTACAAAAAAGAATGAAATTTTAAATTATATAATACTGAAAAATAACGAAAAAATTAAATTTATAATATATTTAACCAATCAAATTTTACTCTTTAGATAAAAATCAACATATAATGGATTGCCTTTCCGAGTTTCAATCCATTTTCTAGTCGTTTGATATCATTCGGATGAACAAATAATCGATGGCACCCATATTCTGCACTATCAGAGAACATTCCACCCCCGCGACGTCCCATTTTTGCTCTTTGTTTCCTGGTTCGTTTCCGTTCCTATTTTTTCTTGTAGCAGCGGCAATACTCGCTGAATCCTTTCTGTAAATACGACGCTCTATATTCCTCGAATGCTATGAAATTAAAATCAACAATCACGGACCACACATCGACATCAAACCAGCCCTTTGAATGTTCCCTTTTAAGCTCATCATCTGAATATGGCTATTTTAAAGTATACACATTTATAAGTATTCAAACGATATTAAGAAAGACAAAGAAAAAATAAAAAATCTTACAAGTTCTTCATCACCAACTCCACCCATTCAGCATTAAATGCTTTTTTCGATTAAAAGTTTCATTTCTGCCCTGATATGATGTTAATTATTATCGTGTTTGTTCTTTGTTTCTTTGATTTAATATTTATAGGATTCTAAAATAGTATGCAAAAAGAAGTGTATAAGGAAGACGCATCCCGATTACTATTTCAAAATAATAGATACAAGCACAAAGGTATGAGTGCAGCACGTTTACTAAGCTCGCTAGCATTTTACATTCTAAGAATAAGTAATATACTAACCTTTAATTTACTCCAAATCCTAAGAGCCTTCTCTTTTCTCTTTTTGACTCAGAATATTCTGTAATCATTCGTTCCCCAGCTAAATCATTATGGGATACTTGCAATTCCGTGTTAAGTTGCTCTTTGCTAGTATATTCATCCCATAATTCGATATCCCACCTTGTATATGAGATCTCCCAGTATCCTGAAAAGGTAAACGATTTTAGAATATTTTTTATAAACAAGCAAGTAACGGATATTAAGTCTATGATGTTAACTTTTGGATAATACTGCTTCTGTTATACTTGTTGCCCATACTTTATGGGTATAGGATAAAGCCCCAATCCCATTCCTTCCCAAATCTCATTTCTTAAACCAAAACTTTAACGAATAAAAAAAATATAATATAAAAAAAATCAAAAACGAAAAAGACCGGGGGAAAAATTATCATCATAATTAATGATTATAATTTACTGATATTTGTTCATTAGCTTCGTCTTGAGAAGATTCAAATGATTATTGATTAAGTTATACTAAAAATATATTATAAGTTAAATGGGATTTTAAATATAGTATTGAATTTGGGATGGGATGGGAATCTATAGTATGAGGTATTTGCAGCAACTATAGCTTCTGTTGACATGAGTAAAAAGAATTTGAGATGAAAAGAAGAAAAGGTTATCACAAATTTTACTCTAGTCGCGTAGACGCGCTTAAATTTAAATACTTTGACACTTTTTGAAGTTTAAATCCAAGTCCGATAATAACTTGACGAAGTGACGATAAACTAAAGTATTTCCGCATTCAATAAATTTTTGTTGTCTTGGCCGGCACATTTAAAACATTTAAAAATAAATGAAATAAAATAAAAAATAAAAAATAAAAAAAGAAAAAAAAAAAAAAAGATTTTTAGGAATTAATATCCTCCTCATTGGGACCTTGTTAAATTTATGAAATGTGATACAAAAAAAAATTAACCAAAATCTTAACAACCCGTTAATTTAGGTATCGCAGCAAGTAAAGATCTAACCATTTTCTTTTAAAAATATTTTTACTATGTCAACAGAAGCATTATTGTCCAAAGTTACTTGTTGTATATATAATCAATATTCTAAAGACTTGTACTTAAATATCTCCTATAAAAGGTATCATGAAATGATTTTTTTCGCAAAGAGCACCACAACACTAAAAAACGGAACCCCATAAATATATAGCTGGGAACTAAGAACGATTACAGAGAATTCAGAGTCAAGAAGAGAAAAAGAGAAGGCTCTTAGAATTTTGGATATTGAAGGTTAGTATAAAACTTTTCTTCAGAAATTAAAATGCTAGCGAGCTTAGTAAGCGCTTTCCTTTGTGCATGGGGAAGAAGAGCGTTCACCTGAATTCGTCGCTGTGACGTGCGCATTTAGCTACGATTAAGGTCTATTGATTTTAGAAAGGAATCGATTACGTGTCTTTCACACACTTCTCTTGCATACTATTTAGAATCCAATAAGTTATAAAAATAATGGGATTCGAATACTGTAAGCAGGTCCAATAAATATCAGCCAAAGTTCATGGTAGAGGTATAAATGGGATCATAAACCCACAGAAGCATTTGTATTTGATAGGTTGGGTAATATACAAATGCGCATTTGTTAGATAGGAGTTGTAGCGTTAATGATTGCTAATTATCTTATGTTCTGTATTTAGGATGATCCACGAAGACATTATAATAAAACGAAATGTCAGATCTGCATCATCATCATCTAATATATTTAAACTACATAAAAATTAAAACAATCATTTAAAAACAATAATTTATTTTAGCCTAATGCATTTGTCCTTCAATAAAATTTTTTTTGAATTGTGAACTAAATATAACTAGGAAACGGGGACCGTTGCTAATTCCGGAACGATCTTGGTATTTGCTTTACCATATAGTCCTTCCATTCGTTCCAGACTAATAACAACGTCTAGTCTCGTGACTAGTACGAAATAATTGATCCGTACAAAAAAATTAAATAGAAATTGGAAATTATATATGTTTGAAAAGTAGGTTAGGAAGAGATTAATTGACAAAAATTTTGGTCTAATATTCTTGAAATTCACAAATGATCGTTCTATTTGATTATTGATCTATGGCCACGCACATTAGCATTTTCGGTTTACGTTACCCGGTTCACTTTTTAAATTTTAGCCAAAAAATATTACTATGTAAAATTTTATCACGCGACTCTAGATACAAATTTATTAGTTTTAACCTTATATAATTAGTTCCCGTACATTTCTTGGTTTTAAAAATTTTAAAAACTAGTAAGAATATGTAAATTTTTACTAGCAGTGCCACACCGTTTTTTTAAAAAAAAAAAAAAAAATCTGTAAACTTTACCATTTTAACATACCATATGTCCAGATATTGAGCAAATATTTTTTTTCATGCCGAATTATTGAAGTTGGCGCAGTATCGAAACAAATCTCAATGCTGACAAAAGTTGTTAAAATGTCATAGTAAGAATGAATGAGATTAGAGAGACATAGGGGACTCTTAATTTTTCATTATGAACAAAGATCCTTATTAGTTGTATGGTCAAAATTCTCGATTTAAAGTTTAGCAATTAATGTATTATTTTTTTTTGTCTAAATTTCAGGTGAAAAATCATTCCACATGTTCATTTACTGCGGAATAAATAGTTTTACTAGAAAAAAAGCTATTGACTTCGTCGGTAGGATAATGATGTAACATTGAATTAAATCTTTTTATAGAAATTAGTAAATAAATAATATATAAATGGATGCATTCTTATGATTGATGTTTAAATTCTTTCTTTATTTGTCGGTTTTTAAGGAAAAGTTCGATTCCTCTTTAAATAAACGAGATTTTTGATGTGATCGATAGGTTACACCACCGCAGTAAAAATTACCAACCGATAAGTAAACACGGGTGTTAACACGGATCATGTGATATAGTGTTAATGTATAACAAATATAGCGTCGCCCGTAAAAAATGGTAGTCGGATTTTATTTACGGGCGACCTACTAATTAATCTTTATACTAAAATTATTATTTGTCAAACTTTGTACAAATTAATAGCAAATATTTATTTATATGTATTATTTAAAATTTTTGCTATTATACACTTAAAATTTTACTATCGGAATCATCCATCCTACACTAATTTCGTAGCACTTGAAACTTTGCTATTAAAATCACATAGTTACACTAACTTTTTGATTTTCTTTATTAGAAATTGATTTTGAAATTTTATTTAAAAAAATTTATTTTCTTTTTAAATTATTTTTCTTTAAAAAAAAAAAAAGTATTTCCAATAAACGATTTTCTGCTATCAACTCCCTCGATAAATGGGAGGTTTGCTATTAAAATCGTGTTACGAACAAAGTAAATCATATGATCCGTTTTAATAGCTAACCTCCTCAAATTTTATATATTTTTATTTTTGATTTTTGAAAGGGTCCGAAACTTATTTCTTTTCCAAATTTTGTGTCGATCATTTCTATACCCAAATGTCAAAAAAATTTTTAATGGTCCCTGTCGTGTGATCTTTTGAGTAGATAATCTGTCTGTTTAAATTCAAAAAAAAAATATGTTGTAAAACATCCCAAACTTGGTAGTACTGTACATTGGAACTACAACAGGATGATCTTTTACATTTATAAATGTAAAGCAGTATACTGTATTAACTTTTATTAATTGTCAAAATTTTTTCTTTTTTTTTAGAGTTTTTCTTTAATTGAAAATATGATTTGCAAAAGATATAAATTGCTTGAATCATTCATTTTCATGTTAAGCTATTTTTTGTTTATAGTTGAGCCATTTACACCTGTGGGGCGTTATTCTCATTCCTCTGTCGTCGTTGGAAATAAGCTTTTTTTTTTTGGTGGAGTAAAAGACGATGGTTTTTGTTTAAACGAAGTATTTTATCTTGATTTATCTCGATCATTTAATTTAGCTACTCCACCTTGGATTGACCTCACGCAAAATTCTAAAATACCATTCAAAAGTTGCTGGGGAACTGTTTCGCTAAATGATAAGGAACAAATTATTTATTTGTTTAGTGGATTAACATTAAATATTACAAATTATAATGTTTTTGCACCAAGTATTCATGTGGTGGGTATAGTTCATTCACGGGTTCACCAACAACAAAATTTTTCAATGATATGGTTATTTTAAATACTGTTGAATTATCTTGGACAATCGATATATTCCATCCACCTAAACCAAGAAGTACTTATACAGCAACTTTACTGACTAATGGAGTTATTGTATATATTGGAGGATTTGAAAATGTTAGTGTTGCTGATATTAAACAAATCATTCTTTACGATACAAATACATTAGCTTGGTCAGAAAAAGTATGTGTTTATGCCAACAAAGTAATAATCTTTTAAATATAAATAATTGATGTGCATTCATTTATAGATAGCGAAAACTTCAAGCGTAATCGAAAATCGTAACGGACACACGGCAGTGTTAGGTATAAGTTAGTAATATAACAGTTTATGATTCATTTTTAAACCAATATTTATTTTTTGCTTTTTTTTATTTAATTAGCCTCTAATAGTAAAATAATTATTTATGGAGGTTCTAAAGTTCTTGTTGGAATTACTAATAGTGCTCAAGTAGTTCCAGATATGTTTGTTTTAAATATGGAAACCGAGCAATTTGAATTTACCGTACCACCAATTACATCAAATATTGGTAAAGTTCCACCATCACTGTCATATCATACAGCTAACCTAGTTGATAATTATATGATTATAGCTTTTGGTAAATACATTTTAATAAAATTTAAAGTTAAATTATTAATTTGTAATAATTTCTAATTTTTATAATAGGAAATATTACACAACCAAATTATGCACCATTACCATTCACGAATCCTAATATTTATATAATGGATACTAGAAATTATACATGGGTTAATTCATTTGAAATAACAATTGTTACAACGAAAACTGAACCATCAACACCAATTCCTTCCATAATGGTTAATTCTAATAGTGAATTAGGTACGATTAAATTCATAATCGCAACAATAGGAGGAACTTTGATTTTAGTTATTATTATAGCATGTGGATTTTTAATTTATAGATGGAATGAAAAAAGGAAAGCATTGCCCCCTAATCACATTAATGAGGAACATACTTTACCTGGAAATATCGTAGAACATGATAGAAGTAGTTATATTCCTACTTATTAATTCATCTT